AAAATTTCTCTCAAACACACTCTAATTAGGTGATTAAATTCTACAAGGAATGTGAGATTAAATATTCATGATAGAGAAAAAAAATTATGAGCGAAGAATATACATATAAAAATATATAAATTAGTAGTATACTCTAAATAATTTTGATTTTGACTCTCTAATCTTCAAAAGTTGGGGTCTAACTCCTCAAACTATTTAAATATACGAATCTCGACTATCACATGATGAAAATGTCATTGTAAAGTCATACATGACTTTCTTGAGACTTAAACTTGGAGGGCAAAATTGTCAAATTTTAATAATGTTACTTATACGTGAGATATGTCAAGTGGCGACCCAAATTCAAGAACTGGATAGATTGACGATCTCGACCTTCAATTTCGAAGATTGAAGAACTAATACTATAATAATTGACTAATTTAGGGAGCTCAATCCGAGTGGTTTCCAAAAAGGTTTACATTTGAATCCCATGCTTAGACTAACATTGATACTATTATTTCGACTAATACAAATCAAATTGATATCTAAAATAATATTCAATCGATTCATAAAGAGACTGAGTTGAACTGATCTAACTTCCTTGATTATCAAATCGAAAATAAGTGTATCTGCATAATAAACAGCCAATTAAAGGTTGTAAAGTTGGGCTTAAAAGTTGTGTATTAATTAATTTTGAGAAGATTTAGTCCAGTTGGTAGTAAAGTAGAACAAAAAAATGTGGCCCTGTAGCTGCATGCACAGGGATTGAATCAAAGAAGGGAAAGAACAAAAATTAGAATTTGTTGGTACCCTTTTGTTAACTTTTTCTTCCTTCACTTTTGGCATTTGCATGTGCATTAACCTACCAGAATACATTTTTTTTTATGAATGTTGATTGATTTCATCACGACAAGCATTTTGTTTCCTAGAAACATAGTAAACATTTTTTTTTTCCAAAAAAAAATTAAGTAGAAAAATACAATCTTCAAGGAAGCATATCACCACAATGAAAAAAAAAATAAAAAAATTTAACTAGCGGAAGAAAAGAAAATTTCTACTCTTAACTTTCGTGTTTCGTTGTGACGCTTTTTGTCGTTATGCATTGTGTTAGAGATATTTTTTATTCACGATTGCTTTCATAGTTATTATTCATTTTGGCATAAGTATGTGCATTTCTAAATATGAGAAAAAAAAAGGTAAAATTCAAATACTTTTAGGCTGCAGTGTAAAATTGACTGAAATATGAATAAACTCTCGACAAAGAAAGAAACATCCGTAAAAACAAATTAAGAATTTTAGCATGTTGGTCGAAGTTCATTACAATACAACATTACATCGGATA